TGGGGCGTCTTGGGGCCCTCGTGGGCCGTTTTGAGACCCTCTTCGGAGCCTCTGGGGCTTTTTGTGGGGCCAATTTGGAAGCTGTTTGGGCAGTCATGGGCCTCTGAGAGCCGAAAGAAGGCGAGAACGCTAAAATCATAAAAAAAAACATATGATCATTTATGATTTTGGCCATCCTCGGGGTTTCTTGAGCTCTCTTGGGGCAATGTCGGGCCGTCTTGGAGCCATCTTGGCCCGTTCAGAGGCCATCTTGGGCCGTCTGGACGCCCTCGTGGGGCCCCGAGAGGGGGACGGGGCCCAAATCACAGATTTTCCATAGATTTTGGTTGGATGTTGTGGGTTTTTGAGGCGCAGGAGGGAGGGACCACTTTGGGTCGGCGGAAGTGGTGTGGCCCCTGGGGGGGGGGTAGGGGGTACATAATAATGTAACACAATGCAACATGTAGCAATTATGCAATCATTTGATACATTGGATACGTTGCATTATAGACTCCGCGGACCTGCCTCCGGCAACACGTCACCTCCACGCGTGGATTCCTCGCTTCGCGAGGTGCACGTCCGGAGCACGCACAGTCCAGTCGTTGTCGGGACTCTGGGAATTTCTTGAGGGCCCCGTGGAGGCCTCTCTGGGGCCCCTTGGGTCCTCGCGGGGGCGTCTGGGAGGCCTCTTGGGGGCCTCTGGGAGGCCTCTTGGGGACCTCTCGGAGCCCCCTGTGGGCGTCTTGGGGGCGCTCTTGCGCTGTCTGGTCTCTTCCCAGACTGTCTTGGGGTACTCTTGGGCCGTCTTGGGGGCCTCTTGGGGCATCTCGGCGGCCTCTTTGGGCTGTCTGGGGGCCCTCTTGGGCCGTTTTGCAGCTCTCTTGAGGGCTTCTTGGGTCGTCTGGGGGCCGTTCGGAGGCTGTTTCGGCCGTCTTGGACCTCTAAGAGTCGAAATATGCGGGAACGCTGAAATCTTCAAAAACCATTGGAAAATCAAAGATTTGGACTTCTGGAGGCGCTCTTGAGGGTCCTCTTGGGGCCGTCTTGGGCCTTCTTGGGGCCTTGTTGGGCCCCGTTGCGGCCATCTTGGGCCGTCTTGGCTTGCACAGAGGCCATCTTGAGCCGTCCTGACGCCTCGTGGCCCCCCAAGAGGCCCAAGCAGCCGAAATCATAGATTTTACATAGGTTTTGGTAGATCTTGGGGCCCCAAAAGTGGGTCGCCAGGTTGGGTCGATGGATGTGGCGTAGCCCCTGGGGGGGTCAGGGGGGAGACACAATCATGTAACACAAGACAAAGTGCAGCAAATATGCAACTCTGTGATGCAATGGATACGCTGCATTACAGCATCCGCGGAAAACGCTGCCGCTGAGCACGTCACTTCCGGACGTGGATGTCCTCCCTTCAAACGCCGGTTCTAATCATGGGCGCCGCCGTGACAAATTTCCACCTGGCTGGCGTTGCACCACGGTTCGCCCAGAAGGAAAAAACTACATTACCGTCCAGTCGTTGTGTGGCCTTTTGGAGGCTTCTTTGAGGCCTCTTGGAAGCTTCTTGTGGGTTTTTTTAGAGGCCTCTTGGGGGCTTCTTGGGCCCTCTTGGGGGCCTCTTGGGGCCTCTTGGGGGCGTGTTCGGCTGTCTTGCGGCGCTTTTGCGCCGTTTCGCCTCTTGGGAGGCCCTTTTGGAGGCCTTCTTGCGGCCGCCTTGGGTCTCTCTTGGGGTCCTCTTGGGCCGTTTGGGGGGCCTCTTGGACCGTCTTGGGGGCCTTTTTTTCGGGTGCCTTGGAGCCCTCGTGGGCCGTTTTGAGACCCTCTTCGGAGCCTCTGGGGCCTTTATGGGGCCATTTTGGAAGCTGTTTGGGCCGTCGTGGGCTTCTGAGAGCAGAAAAAAGGCGAGAACGCAACAATCATAAAAAAAAAGCAATTGGGACATGTATGATTTAGGCTTCTGAAGGCGCAGTTGCAGGCGCTCGTGGGGCCCTTTTGGGCCATCCTCCGGGTTTCTTGGGCTCTCTATGGGCAGTGTCGGGCCGTTTTGGGGCCGTCTCGGTCTTGGGGCCGTCTCGGCCCGTTGAGAGGCCATCTTGGGCCGTTTGGACGCCCTCGTGGGGCCCCAAGAGGGCGACGGAGACTAAATCATACATGTTCCATCGGTTCTGGTTGGATTCTGTATGTTTCTGAGGCGCAGGGGGAAGGGACCACTTTGGGTTGGCAGAAGTGGTGTGGCCCCTGGGGGGGGAAGGGGGGTACATAATAATGTAACAATATGTAGCAAGTATGCAATCGTTGGGTACATTGGATACGTTGCATCATAGCCTCCGTGGACCTGCCTCCGGCAACACGTCACCTCCAGACGTGGATTCTATAGGATTACGGCCTCCAGGACTGCATTCCACGAGGCTTGTCCGAATCATGGCACGGCGCTCGACATTGTTCCTTTTGCCTCGTTGCTGTTATCGTATTTTCTGGGACCCACGCTTCGTCCCGATCCGTTCCTTGGCGGCCCCCCGGTAGGCTCCCGTGGGGATGTCCGTTGGGATCTCGTGGCGAGGATTCTCGTTGGCCTCTTCGAGGCAGTTTCGAAGGTTTTGGGGAGTCGTTTTGAGGTTTTGTTGGACCTCTTGGGGACTCCTTGGGTGCCTCTTGGGTGCCTCATGAGGACCGCTTGGGGCCGCTTGGGGGCCTCGTGGGTCCTCTGGAGAGCGTCGTTGGGCGGAGCGCTGGAATTCGCGGTTCGTGGTCCCTCTCTTGGGCCCTTCTTGGGGCCGTCTTGGTGCTCTCTTGGGCCGTCTAGGGCGCCTCTTGGGCCACGTTGGAGTCTTTTCGGTTGTCTTTGGGGCCTCCTGGGAGCCTCGTGGGCCGTCTTGGTGTGGTCCTGGTGGCCTCGTGGGGGCCTCGTGGACGGTTTTCAACGCCGTGAAGGCTAACAAGTTGGATATGTTGAAAATGCACGTTCTCCCAAGGGAATTTGAAGATTGTGGTTTCCCGGGGACTTCTTGGGAGGCCTCCTGGAGGCTTCGTGGGGTGTCTTGGCGGCCTCCTGGGCCGTTTTGAGTTCATCTCGGGCGTCTTGGAGCGATCTTTCGACGACTTTGGGTTCTCGTTGGCCGTCTTGGCGGCTTCTTGGGAGGCGTCAAGTGCTGTCGTGCAGCTCAAGAGCGAGCCCAGGGAGCCCAGACCGCCCCCGGTGAGTTCGGTCCGGGGCCGTCCTGGGCGAGGGGGGGGGGTCAAATTCCCGGTTTGGGGTCCCTGGGGGGGGAATTATGGGGGGGGGCAATCTCACATGCTTGGAGACCCACAAGGGGTCGGCGGACTATCAGGACCCGCCAGTTTGCCTCTTGCTGTTCCTCCTCGAGCCGACTGTCGGGGAGCGCGTTGGCCGCGCCACCAGGTTGTCAGCGCGCGCCCCACGGGCTCGGAGGAGCAAGGCTTTGTGGTGCACAGTTCCGCGAGGGCCGATCCTGATTAGTCTCAGGCTGTTTTTCTCCAGATTTTCACGTGCGGGCTCCTTGATACGTGCTTCATGCCGATTTGACAAGCAGCGTCTCCATGCTCGCTGTTTCTTTGGTCTTTGGCGAGGGTGACAAGAGGAGAGAAGACGACCGTTTTCACACAACGTCGAGCCTTTCCGTCGCTAAATCGGGCGGCATTGTTCTCATGTTTCGGGGGGCATCTTCCCGATCCGTGCATCTGATTCCCATGCGCCAGATCCACGGATCCATATTTAGCCCACGTTACCGGGTCGCTCCGGAACGCCCGCGGCACACACACACAGTTTTTGGACTCGCAAATTATGTGTGTCATTGAACTAGTGACTAATCATGAGTTCCGCCATGGTCGTATCCTGTATTCGCTTTATTGCCTGCCGAAGAACTGTACAGGGTGACTCCCCACTCTCCCCCTTCTCTTCGCCTGGGAGGGGGGATGGCGAAACCGAGAGATTCATGGCTCTTCCCCTGGAGGATTGTCGTCGTCGACGTCTCGTCTACCTCTTCGTTGAAGTGTCGTCCCCGGTATTGTTGCCCTGCCCTTCGCGGATGTGTTTTCGCCGTCGTTTTCATCGTCGTTGTCGTCGTGTCGCTGTCGGCTTCGTCGTCGTCCCCAGCATTGCCACCCCACCCCTACCACTCTCTCGTTTTTATTCGCCCGATGCGCCGCCGGCAGCTGGCGGCTATGTTGGGAGACGGAGGGATTTACGAGCATTTCCCAAGATATTTGTCTCGGAGGCGCGCCCAGCCCGGGGAAGGCAGATGGGGCGGGTCTCCTCAGAAGGCTCAAGAGGCCTGCAGCCCTCTGAGATGCTTCCTACGCCTTCTACGAAGACGCAAACGGCTTCCCAGAAGTGGCTCTGAGAAGCCCCACCGCTTATGTCCTCTCACCCTTCCCCCCCTCGGCGCGCAGCGGAGCTTCACTGAGATCCGACGTTGCGAAGAAGTAGCAACATTCGAAACACATCACGACTGGAGCCCTATAGACCCAATGTTTTGGTTGCATCTTTTCAAGCCGGATCGATCTCTGATGGTACCAGGGCCCACGACTGGGCGAAAACACCCGGCGCGTGGAAAAATACATCGCCCAGACCTCAGGGCCGGCGCGCTGCCGAGTTTCCGAGGGCCCCCGAGGGTCTCAGGCGGCCTCCGAGGGCTTCGGTGGCCTTCCGAGGGCTTCTTAGCGCCGCGAGAGCGTTTTTTGATCCCCTGGCGAACACGGGCGTGACCCGGGAGGGGGGGGGAGGGGCGGGGGTAGCGGGCTGTTCACGTCACGCTTCGTGCCTGCGCCGTCACAGGCAATGCCCAGGAACGGCGGATTGGTTCCTTCCCACACGGCGGCCGCTGGCGCGAATCCTGGCTTGACCAGGGAAGGGGGGGTAGGCTGGGCCGGCCGCGGGCGCCATCGCGTCTGATGCGAAAGTGGGCTCCTCCCGAGGGCTTCCGGTGGCCCTTCGGAGGCTCTCCGAGGGCCGCCCTCGCCGGGCGGCGCCCGCGCGGGGCTCTATCTGGCGGCGCGGGCGCCGCGCGGCGCAGGGCGGCGCGCAGGCCGCCTTCTGAGCGCCGCGAGCCGGCGCCGCGGGGGCGCGCCGAAGAGCGTCGCGCCCTCCAGGAGGGGAGGGGGATGAAGCAGGGGCGAGGCGTCCCGACTCGCGTAGTAGGAGGCCCCGCAGAGGATGTGGTGATGAGACGTGTTCTTGTGGTCTGCACGAAGTGTTCTCTGGACAGTTCTGACTGAGACCGGCTCGGTTTAAAGCGTCGGTCTCATGTTGTAAGAGCATTGCTGATGCGATTGGAACGCTTTTTGTTCTAAGCATATTTCGCGGTCGACCAATAGAAATGCAGCGTGTTGTTGTCCATGTTCAACACACGGTTGGAGCTTTCGAGGTTGTATGAATCGAGGTTCGAGGTTGGAGGTTCCTTCAGATCCTGGCGCTGCAATTTTTCACACCAGGCGTTTGCGCTTGGTTTCGGACCCCAAGATCCTCACATACCGATCTGGCTCGAAAGTCGACGCGCCAAGATGAGGCCTGTGGCTCCAATGGTGATTGTTTACGGTGTTGTTTTTTGTTCGGGACGTAGATTAATTATGTGGGTTAGAGGTTGCAGGTTTTCGGGCTTGTCGTGTATTTCCTGGCGGTGTCCCATCCCCGGGACGCCTTCCAGCAGCTGCGCTTCGCCGAGACCGTGCTGGATGTGCCCAGATCGTCCTTAATGGCAACTGAAAAGCCGAGTAGGGCTCGAGAACGAAGGAGGGGAGGGAGGGCTGGGAGGACGGAAACGGATGCAGGACGGGGGGAGGGGGGAGCGAGGGCACGGCAGAGGGAGTGGAGGAATGTAGGGAGGGGTAGGGCAGGAGGGGATGGCGGGGGGGGGGGAGGCGGGGAGGGGGCATGTTTTTTCCCCACAGCCAAAATGGGGTTTTTGTTTGCCCTGCCCCTCCCCGCAGGATCTCCCCTCCCCCTTCTGTTCCTCCTCATCATCACCATCTTCATCACACACTCACACACACACTCACACTCACACTCACACACTCACTCCCCCATTCCGCCTCACTCACTCATTTCATCGTCATCACTCACACACTCATTCAGTCACACAATCACACACACCATCATGATCACCATCATCATCACTCGGTCACTCACTCACTCATTCACTCATCCCTATCATCATCATCCAGTCACTTACCATCATCATCACTCACTCACTCATCACTTCGTCATCTTTCATTTCCTCGCTTGAACACGGAGGAAGTATCAAGCGAAAGTGTCGTCTGTGAGTGAGTTCTGAGGAAATCTCAGGTGGGACCCCCCTCCCCATGGGTCCCGCACTTCATGTAGGGAATCCGAGGAGGTCATCCTCAAACATTATTGTAACCTTCGTCGCGTCGCGTTCGGGCTCCTGAGGCCTGAATATAGAGGATGTATCAAGCGGGAACTTCGTCTGTGAGGGAGTTGTGAGGAAGTCTCAGCCGGGAGCCCCTTCCCTATGGGTCCCGCGTTTCATGTTAGTAATCCGAGCGGGTCATCCTCAACCCTATTACTGTCGTCAATTTTGGGCTCCCGATGCCTGAATATGTAGGAAGTATCAGGCGGCAGCCTCGTTTGTGAGTGAGTTGTGAGGAAGTCTCAGGAGGGAAACCCTCTCCCTGCGGGTCCCGCAATTCATGTTGGTAATCCGAGCGTAATATCCTCAACCCTGTAACTGTCGTCATTTTGGGGCTCCTCGGGCCTGAATATGTAGGAAGTATCAGGCGGCAGCCTCGTTTGTGAGTGGATTGTGAGGAAGTCTCAGGCGGAAGCCCCTTCCCTGTGGGTCCCGCATTTCATCACGTTGGTAATCCGAGCGGGTCATCCTCAACCTTGTAACTGCTGTCATTCTGGAATTCCTCAGGTTTGAATTTGGAGGAGGTCTCTGGCTGGAGTCTCGTCTGTGAGTGAATTGCGAGGGCGTCTCAGGCGGGAGCCCCTTCCCTATGGGGCACGCGCTTCATGTTGGTAATCCGAGCGCGGTCATGCGAATTCTATAACCGTTTGGGCTCTCCGGGCCAGAAGATGGAAGAAGTCTCGAGTTGGGGCCTCGTTTGTGAGTGACTCGCGAGGAAGTCTCGAGCGAGGAAGTCTCGAGGAAGAGACGACGGCGGCGAGGCCGAGGTTCGGGCGAGGAATTTGCTGATGTTCAGGCCCACCGAGCAGGAGCTCACGTGGCAGAGCTCGGGGACGCACGTCGTGCGCCGCTCGGGGTTCACCCTGACGCACGCGTCCTACTTGACCTCCACGCTGTCGCAAGGCCAGACGCTTCGCAAGGGCGTCACTTTTGATTGCGCTAGGGACGAGGACGCTGGACGCATGCGCGTGTCACCCGAACAGCGGTGGCAACACCTCTACGTGATGTTATCCCGCGCCACGCGCATGCTGAACATGCTGATCCTGCGGCCGCCCCCGCGAGACATCCTGGAGCGCAGGCGCTCCAGAAATTCGACGAGAAAGCGAAGACCTCCGGGAATGAGGCCGACCAGCTCGCCGCGGAGCTT